TCGGGGCGCCGCCCCCTCACCGCCCGGCTCCGCGCGCCGCCCGCCGGCCCTGCCCGCCCTCTGCCCACCCTGCAGCCCCCATACCCGAGCTGCAAGGGAGTGCGACGGAGAGGGTCCAATCACCCGGCTTCTTGGAGGTCCAGAGCCCTCGAACTTTGGTGCAAAATCTGGGAGGGAGGAAAGGCTACTGCTTACAACACACTCACAGAGTAGTACGGTCATCTGAGTGCCTCCAGAAAGTGTAGGAACTGCCCAGTTTTATCGGCACAAACACCCACGCAGTGGGGAATCGGTCAGTCCCAGTCTAGCTTCTGCCTCTTGAGCTGAGAGCAAGTTACTTCGCCTTCTGGTCCTGGGCCTTTCTTTCAAGTGAGAATTGTAATAATCTCTACCTCGTCGGCTGTTGTAACAACGGTTAAATGAGATAACAATATAAAGGATCTAGCGTATGCTTGACAGGAGCAGGGGCGCGATCGATGGTGCTGGTGTTGGCCCAGGATGAGGTGGAGGCTCACCTCCGCTCAGGTAATAAGATCCATTGTTGGACGGTCATAATGCTTGGGAATTTCTTCTAGAGACGCGAGCGGCCTTTCCCTCTCACTGAGAATCATCATTCGGTCCCACTGGTTCTGGTTCCTGAATGACAGTCTTTTCCTTCTTCCTCAGCCACTGAACCCCACATTTAAAGCCTGACCTAGGCCCAGCCACGCTTGCTTTCTTGGTTCCAGGTTCTGGTTGTCATCCTCATTCAGCTCCTGGGTGGCCAAATCCTCATCTAATCTGGTATCCCTCTCTTGGTTTTCCCTGGCTTTCACTTCTTCTCACAATGTGGTGCCCCAAAGGGGACTGGATATCTAGAGCAAGGACCTTGTCCCCCAGAGGACAGCAGGCTTCTCTCCTGGTTGGGTCCCCTGGTTGGCTCTTCAGACTTAAGGGGACCTTGTTGTGAGTTTGTGATGCCAGATTCTTTTTTTCCCCTCTCCTCCTCCCCCTTCCTTCCTCCCTCCCTCCCTTCCTTCCTTCCTTCCTTCCTCCCTCCCTCCCTCCCTCCCTTCCTTCTTTCCTCTTTCTTTCTTCTCTTTCCCTCTCCCCTTCCCTCCCTCTTTCTTTTCTCATAAATTTCCACCTAACCAGATTTCCCAGTCTTCTTCTTATGTAACCAATTTTCCACAATCTCAACACAGGATTTAGCACTCATCCCTGGTGAATTTCATCTTGTTGGTTTCAACCCAACTTCACAATCTGTCAAGGCTGCCTTGAATCCGCTTCAGTCACCCATTGTATTGGAGCTCCCTCACAGCCAGCAGCCATCTTCCGGGTGGAGAGCAGCTTCCCTGCCTCCATTCAAGGGACTCTGGACAATACCAGGCAGCTCAGGGCCAGGATGGAGCTTTGGAACAACCTCATAGAGCTCTCCTTCAGCTTTATCAAAATTGTTCAGTTTTAAATCCAGCTCACATTTCTGTCTTGTCTATAAGGGAAAATGCCAAATGCTTTGCTGGATCAAGATCAACTGTCTGGGGCTATCCAATTGCAGTGGTGGGGTGGAGAGGGAGTCTGGCTGGTGTGTAAGGATCACAGCGGCTTAACCTTTTCCTAGGAAAAGTCACCCAACTAAAAACCTGTTCTGGAACTTGCCATGCATGGATGTCATATTGTTTTCTTTGCAAAATTTACTTTTTATCCCTTTGGGTAAAATCAAATACCAGCCGCTCTTGTGAGGTAAGTCTATTCATCAATGGCCTCCCCCAACACTTAGCATCTAGTCCAAACTCCTACCCATGGCCAAAAGGCGCTGCCTACCTGCCCCCACCCCTGACCTCATCTGCACCCTGTGCTGCCCTCCAGTCCATGGGCCCCCTGGCTTTTATTTATTTATTTATGTAAAAAATTTGTTTTTAAAGATTTTATTCATTTATTTGACAGAGAGACACAGCGAGAGAGGGAACACAAGCAGGGGGAGTGGGAGAGGGAGAAGCAGGCTTCCCGCTGAGCAAGGAGCCCGATGTGGGGCTCGAACCCAGGACCCCGGGATCATGACCCGAGCCGAAGGCAGACGCTTAACGACTGAGCCACCCAGGCGCCCCTTAAAGATTTTTTATTTATTTGACAGAGAGAGAGGGAGACACAGCGAGAGAGGGAACACAAGCAGGGGGAGTAGGAGAGGGAGAAGGAGGCTTCCCGCCTGGCAGGGAGCCCGATGCGGGGCTCGATTCCAGGACTCCGGGATCATGACCCGAGCCGAAGGCAGACGCCCAATGACTGAGCCACCCAGGTGCGCCTCCTGGCTTTTATTTAAACACATCAAGCCTGCTCCCACCCCAGGGCCTTTTCACGGGCTGCTCTTTCTGTCCAGATCGTATTATTCTTGTGCGGCTACCTGGCTCATTCATCCCTCTCTCTGCTCACCTCATCAGAGGCCTTCCCTGACCGCTCTACCTAAAATGTCAGTCCTCTCCCACGTAATTCTACCAGAATCTCCTTACCTTGATTTTTACTCCCAGCACTGACCACCACTGACCAGACATGTATGTGCTCGTTTACTCTTTTTTTTTTTTTTAAGATTTTATTTATTCATTTGAGAGACAGAATGAGAGAGAGAGAGAGAGAGAGCACAAGAGGGGGAAGGGTCAGAGGGAGAAGCAGACTCCCTGCTAAGCAGGGAGCCCGATGTGGGAGTCGATCCCGAGACTCCAGGATCATGACCCGAGCCAAAGGCAGTTGCCCAACCAACTGAGCCACCCAGGCGCCCCGCTCATTTACTCTTTACCCCTGGTCGAATGTAAGTCTCACAAGGGGCCGGCACTTTGCTTTCTTCACTGCTCCATCTGAGCACTGGGAGAGTACTGGGCACATGGGAGGTGCTCAATCAATATTCACTGAACCCATGAATCAACACATTTCTCAGGACTCC